ATCACATGCGATGTGCTGCACCAAATCAGTGTGTACTCGGGATAAATCTTTAGACTGTCAACAGATTAACCTTTATATTTTCGGCAGTGCTGAAAAATAGAGAGCAACTGAGCATGTGCAAAGCAGGATGAAACAATGTATTACTGGATTTTAACCCCTTGCCTACCAGGCACTTCTACCCCCTTCTTGCCCAGGCCAAGTCTCAGCTTTCAGTGCTGTTGCATTTTGAATGACAATTGCGCAGTCAACACTGTACCCAAACAACATTTTTATCATTTTCTTGAGACATATAGAGCTTTCTTATGGTGGTATTTAATCACCACTGGGGTTTATTTTTTGCTAAACAAACTAAAAGAGACTGAAAATTTTTCTCCTTCACTGATGTGTTCTAATGAGGCTGCAGTGATGGGCACTGATAGGCTGCACTGATGAGGAGGCACTGGTAGGTGGCACTGACAGGCATCACTTGTGGGCACTGAAAGGCAGCACTGATATATGGCATTGATAGGCGGCACTGACTGGCACTGATAGGCGGCACTGATTGGAACTGTTAGGCGGCACTGACAGGCACTGATAAGTGGCACTGATTGGAACTGTTAGGCAGCACTGACGGGCACTGATAGGCGGCACTGACTGGAACTGATTGGTGGCACTGACTGGCACTGATAGTTGGCACTGAAAGGCAGTTCTGATGGGCACTGATATGTGGCATGGATGTGCACTGGTAGACACTGATATGTGGCATTGATGGGCAATGACAGGTGGCATTGATGGACACTGGCAGGTGGCACTTATGGGGCTACACTGATCATCAGGGCACTGATATGTGGCATTGATGTGCACTAGTAGGAACTGATACGTGGCATTGATGTGCACTAGTAGGCACTGATATGTGGCATTGATGGGCACTGATATGTGGCATTGATGTGCACTGGTAAGCACTGATATGTGGCATTGATGGGCACTGATGGGGCTACGGTGCCCTGATGATCAGTGTAGATGTCCCCTCTGAGGAACGCTGCTTACTGGCTCTCCTCTCCTCACTTGCTGTCAGCGGGAGGAGAGGACTGTTGATAACCAGCATCTTAACCAGCACTGTGATCGGTGATCCCGTGTCCCAGGGACACAGCACACCACCAATCGCCGCGCTGCACACCCCCCGGGGCGTACATGCGTGGTTAGAGTGGGAGGACTTCGTATGACGCCCTCCCAGGATGAGAGAACCGCCGCCCTCCTGTCATTTCCTGATATGGCAGGTGAGAGGCAGTTCAGCTGTACAGGAACTTCTTTTTAATGTCTTACATAGCTATAACCAATGCACAAGGGGCCGGCCTGCAGAGATCTAGGGAGGCCTTCATTTCCACTTTAAGTAAATGCTGTTGTGGGCTGACAACGCTAAGCCGCCATCTCATAATTACCAGCATCATTGTCAGCCTGCCATGCTAGCGCCTTCAGCGACGACACAGTGCACGCGCATAGCGGCCTGACAATGCTCTACTAGTAATTGTGAAGCCGTGGTGTCAGCCCACATCAGGAAGCGCTGTTACTGGCAGGATCTTCATGTAAGACATTTTACAACTGATTCACAAGAAATAATTGCACAGATTTCCCATTGCTGTGTGTCATGACAACCAGAAAGGCTGTGGACGGTGAGTCTCCCAGGAGCAATATAAATGTGACAGAGACTAACACCTCCTCATCCAAAAATAAATTTGAAGAGAGATATACTGAAAAATTACTGTAGAATCAGTATTTATTATATTATTTCTCTTTTAGATCAGTACAGTGAGAAAAAAAAGTAGAAAAAAGAAAAAAAACACCAAGTGTAAATTATAGAAGCTGTCGCTAGCCGCCATCTTGTCGTAGCTCAGATTCCATAGGCCTCTAGTCCCCTCCCCTTCTCCCCCTGCAGACAGAGCCGCCGCTGTGTTGAGGTGCAGCGTGTACACGGGTCAGGGTCTCTAGGTATTACTGGCCCCTCCACACAGACATCTGATTGGTCCAGATCAGCTCCTTGCCCTTACAGGGAAAATTAGGGTGGGGCGGTGATTTGTACGCATCCTCCAATGAACGCTTGCTTTCTGTAAGGACGCTTGCCAATGAGACTCCGGGGTGAGGTGACTGACGGCTGGAGGAGCCAGTGGGAGGGGAAGTTGGCTGTTACGGAAGCGGCCTCGGCGTGTGAGTGCGGTCTTAGCCGCTTCTATGGCTCCTTTCCTCGAATTGCTGTGGCTGCTGCTGCCGGTGCTGGCGGCCGGGCTGGGACAACCCCAGGACTCGGAGCTGACCTTCCTGCTGCCGGCCGGGAGACAGGAGTGCTTCTATCAGACGGCGCTGTACAATGGCAGCATGGAGGTGGAGTACCAGGTGAGACTTCTCACGGGACTAGGACATGGGGGGGTTGTCATCCATCTGTAGCTATTGGTCAAAGGCGGGGGGCACCCCTGGCCATCGGTTGAAGGTGGGGGGGCACGCTGTGGCCATCGGTCAAAGAATGTTGAGGGGGGGGATTGTGGCCATCGGTCGAAGGTTTGGGGGGGGGGGGGGGGGGGGGATTGTGGCCATCGGTCGAAGGTTTGGGGGGGGGGGATCGTGGCCATCGGTCGAAGGTTTGGGGGGGGGGGGGGGGGGGGATCGCGGCCATCGGTCGAAGGTTTGGGGGGGGGGATCGTGGCCATCGGTCGAAGGTTTGGGGGGGGGGATCGTGGCCATCGGTCGAAGGTTCGGGGGGGGGATCGTGGCCATCGGTCGAAGGTTCGGGGGGGGGGATCGTGGCCATCGGTCGAAGGTTCGGGGGGGGGGATCGTGGCCATCGGTCGAAGGTTCGGGGGGGGGATCGTGGCCATCGGTCGAAGGTTGGGGGGGGGGGGATCGTGGCCATCGGTCGAAGGTTGGGGGGGGGGGATCGTGGCCATCGGTCGAAGGTTGGGGGGGGGGGATCGTGGCCATCGGTCGAAGGTTGGGGGGGGGGGGGATCGTGGCCATCGGTCGAAGGTTGGGGGGGGGGGGGATCGTGGCCATCGGTCGAAGGTTGGGGGGGGGGGATCGTGGTCGTCGGTCGAAGGTTGGGGGGGGGGGGTCGCGGCCGTCGGTCGAAGGTTTGGGGGGGGGGGGGTCGCGGCCGTCGGTCGAAGGTGGGGGGGGGGGATCGCGGCCGTCGGTCGAAGGTTTGGGGGGGGGATCGCGGCCGTCGGTCGAAGGTTTGGGGGGGGGGATCGCGGCCGTCGGTCGAAGGTTTGGGGGGGGGGGGGGATCGCGGCCATCGGTCGAAGGTTTGGGGGGGGGGGGGGATCGCGGCCATCGGTCGAAGGTTTGGGGGGGGGATCGCGGCCATCGGTCGAAGGTTTGGGGGGGGGGGGATCGCGGCCATCGGTCGAAGGTTTGGGGGGGGGGATCGCGGCCATCGGTCGAAGGTTTGGGGGGGGGGATCGCGGCCATCGGTCGAAGGTTTGGGGGGGGGGATCGCGGCCATCGGTCGAAGGTTTGGGGGGGGGGGGGGATCGCGGCCATCGGTCGAAGGTTTGGGGGGGGGGGGATCGCGGCCATCGGTCGAAGGTAGGTTTGGGGGGGGGGGGGGATCGCGGCCATCGGTCGAAGGTAGGTTTGGGGGGGGGGGGGGGGATCGCGGCCATCGGTCGAAGGTAGGTTTGGGGGGGGGGGGGGGGATCGCGGCCATCGGTCGAAGGTTTGGGGGGGGGGGGATCGCGGCCATCGGTCGAAGGTTTGGGGGGGGGGATCGCGGCCATCGGTCGAAGGTTTGGGGGGGGGGGATCGCGGCCATCGGTCGAAGGTTTGGGGGGGGGGGATCGCGGCCATCGGTCGAAGGTTTGGGGGGGGGGATCGCGGGCCATCGGTCGAAGGTTTGGGGGGGGGGGATCGCGGGCCATCGGTCGAAGGTTGGGGGGGGGGATCGCGGGCCATCGGTCGAAGGTTTGGGGGGGGGGGATCGTGGCCATTGGTCGAAGGTGGGGGTTCCCTTGATTGAATGGGGGCACCTGTACTCATTGGGCAAAGGTGGGAGTGCCCACACTTGTTGATCTAAGGGGGCACCCACATTCCTAGGTCGAAGGGGAAGTGCCCTTAGTCGATGGGGTTACCCTTGCTTCTTGGTCCAAGGAGGGGTAGTGCCCTCATTCCCAGGTCCAAGGGGGAGTGCCTTTGGTAGAAAGGGGAAACCTGTGCTCCTTGGTTGATGGGGGGCGGGGGGAGAGTTCTTGTTGGTTGATGGGAGGTCACTTTTGTTCCAGGTTATAGGGGGGCACCCACACTAGGTCAAGGGGAGGGCGCCCATGCTGATTTGGCGAAGAGGGGTGTCCTCAATTGAAGGGGGAGTTCCTGCATTCCTTGGTTAAGTGGGAGCTCCCATTCTGCTTGGTCGAAGCTGAATGCACGTTCCCAGGTGGAAGGTGGAGCACATGTGGTCCCCTTGAAGGGGGAGTGCCCACGACTCTTGGTTGAAAGGAGGCACCTGCTCTGCTTGGTTGAGGGGGGAATGCTCATTGGTCGAAGAGTTGGAGTACATGTGGTCCAAGGGTCCAGGCTAGGGTCAGGTAATGTCTCTTTTGCTTCCCATACTAGACCAACAATTTTCCAAGTCCTGTAATAGTTTGCTCATTTCTGATTTCCAAACCCTGCTCAGCTTCATTGTATGCACTAGTCGAAGACAGATTGCCAGAATACACTGATCAGCGCTACAGCTGATTGGCTGCACACGCTGATCAAAGCAGAATCTTCCAGCAAGCCTGTTTATGAGAAGTTGATTTCCGTTTCGTAAATGGGAACAGCTTGGGTGTGCAGCTGGTGAGGTTTGGATATCCAACATGCATGTTTGTTAGAGGTCAAGGTGAAGCTGCAGGATGAAAACCACTTGAAACTAAAGCTATGACCGCTCCCCATGTCTGTCCTGTGATGGTTCCTCTTAGCACAGTGGGTCATTTTATGCTCCATCTAGGATTTGTGGCTTCATTGTCTCCTTGCTGCCCCTGCAGGTTATCGGTGGAGCTGGGTTAGATGTGGACTTCTCAGTCACCACCCCTTCAGGGATCTTGCTGATCATGGAACGGAGGAGGTCAGATGGGGTCCACACGTGAGTAAATGTTCCTCCATGCTGCCCTTTACTCCTGACATCTCTCCATAGTTCCCTGTGTGCTCAGTGCCGCTGACCTTTGGCCGCAACTGATTTCTCTCGTCTCTGTCTGGAGCAGCGTGGAGCCCACAGAAGCTGGGAGATTACATGATTTGCTTCGACGAAAACTCCTTCAGCACCATATCTGAGAAGTTGGTGTTTTTTGAGATCATATTTGACAGTCAGCAGGGTGACGACGAGCCAGACAGCTGGGCCGATATTGTGGAACCCGACGAGCTCCTGGATATAAAGATGGAGGACATCAAGGTATGTCTGGGGGACATAGTGCATGTATTATTCCATTCTCGTTCAGAGCTGTCAAAACTCCAGCATATAGGGGGGCGGTTTTAAAGCATAAGTTCACTTTTTTAACAAAAAATAATAAGTGCACATTTTTTTTGCAGGCAAAAAAATGCGCATTTCCGATATATTGTTTTTGTTTTTTCTTTTGTTGTTGTGTGGTGGTTTTTTTTTTTTTTTTTTGTTGCTTTGTGTGTTTGGTTTTGTTTGTGTTTGGTTTTTTTTTTTTTTTTTGCTGCTTTTGTGTTTTTGTTGTTGTGTGTGTGTGGGGGTTTTTTTTAAATGGTTTTTGTAGTTTGTGTGTGGTTTGTTTTTTTTAAAATTTTTTTTTTTTTTTTGCTGGTTTTGTTGTGTGGGTTTTTTGTTTTTTTTTTTTTTCTTTGTGTGTGGTTTTTGTTTTAGGAGCCTGTAAGGCATTGCACCCATGATCAGCTGATCCCTACTATTGCTCTCTTCACCTCCCCAAAATGCCTCTTCCACTCCTCCTTCTCATGTTCCTCTCCTCCATTCCCAAAATCCATTCACTATATCCCTCTGCCCCTCCCAAACAATTGTATATTGTGTCCTCACTGCTTCCTTCGCCCCTCTATGGCACCCACCACCTCCTCCTATTACTCCGCTCTCCCACTGACCCCAACACCTCCACTAGGAGTTTCTCACGCTCATCCTCCTGCACATCCCGCTCCCATGCCACCCTTTTCTCACCCTTCTCCTCCTCCTAACCGTGGGGGACATCTCCCCGAATCCTGGCCCTCCACCTCCCTCACCCGCTCAACACCCTCCCCACCTCCACGTCCTACTGCAACCCCCACAACTTAGTATCTGTCCCCCTGCTCCCTAAAATCTCCCCCCTCGTTTTCCATGTGCACTCCTGAACGCCCGATCGGTGTGCAACAAGCTTACCGCCATCCACGACCTCTTTGTTTCCCGCTCCCTCAACCTCCTAGCGATCACAGAAACCTGGATCCAGCCCACTGACTCTACCTCCCCTGCTGCACTCTCCTATGGAGGTCTCACCTGGACCCACTCACCCAGACCTAACGGTCGTAAAGGTGGTGGGGTTGGCCTGCTCCTGTCACCGACCCACCGCTGAGCACCTTCCGAGTCCTCCCCCAAACCCCCCCTCCCTATCCTTCTCTCTCCGTCGAGGCCCACTGCGTCCGACTATTCCCTCCCCAACCCCCCCTGAAGATTGCTGTGCTATACCGGCCTCCTGGATCCATACCCCGCTTCCTGGATGACTTCTCCCTCCTGGCTACCCTTCTTCCTCTCCTCTGAGCTACCCACCATCATCCTTGGGGATTTCAACATCCCTGTCAACCTCGACAAATAACCAGACACAGCCCGTCCTCCTCCCACCTAACCTCCTCCTTTGCACTATGCACAGTGCATACAATCCACCACCCACTCCGACGGAAAATATCCTGGACCTTGTCTTCTCCCCCAACCGCTGCGCTCCCCCACAACCTCACTAACACCCCCTTCCCTCTCTCTGACCACAACCTGATCACCTTCTCTTATCTCCTCATCCTCCAACGCCTACCCCTTCCAAATGTCACACACTACTACCAGCCGTAACCTCCGCAACCTTAACCCTGCCCCCCTCCCACTCTGCTCCACTCTGCAACACTGATCAACTCTACGACCGCATCCTCCCCCTGTCCTGCCCCCAGACTTGGCTATGACCGCTCTACAACAATGCGCTCCTCAACAGCCCTCTGACTCACTTAGCGCCCCTCCTTTAACCCTCCACGCAACAATCAGACCCCGACCGCTCCAGCCCTGGCAACAGATCACACCCCAAAACCCTCAAACGTACTCGCCCCGCCCCGCCCGCCACCCCCCTCTCCACCCCCCCACCCCCCCCTCCCCCCACTACCCCCCCTCCCTCCCCCCTCCCCCACGGCCCCACACCTCCTCTTCCACCCCACCCTACATTCCTCATACTGAAGCTCCCCCCACACTCCTCACCTTTGACACCTTACACTACCCATTGAGGAAGTCTCCAAGATCCCCCTCTGATGCCCGCCCCCACCACCTGCCCCCTCGACCCTACATCCTCCCCCTCACAACTCCTACGACCTTCCTCCTCCTCCATCCTACCTCACCCCGCCGACACCCACATCTTCAATCTCTCCACCCCTCCCTCCAGGCACTTTCCCCTCCCCTCTGAAACATGCGCACATCACCCCCATACCTTAAAAAGCCCCCCCCTGGACCCCAATGACCCCGAACAACCTCAGACCCATCTCCCCCCCTCCCATTTACATCTAAACTCCTCGAGCGCCTCGTCTACACCCGCATAAGCTCTCACCTCAACGACAACAACCTCCTCGATCCCCTACAGTCCGGCTTCCCGTCCCCTACACCCACTGAAACTGCCTTACTCAAACTCCCCAACCGACCCTGCTAACCCCGCCAAAGCTAATGGGGGCCACCATTCCGTGCTCCTACTCCTTGACCTCTCTATCTCCTGCGGCCTTCGACACAGTCGACACACCCCCTCCTCCTCAAAAAACTACACTCCCTCGGCCTCAGAGATTCTGCTCTCTCCCTGGCTTCTCATCCTACCTGTCACAACGCTCCTTCAGCGTTACCTATAATGCTACCACCTCCCCCTCACTCCTCCTCTCTGTTGGGGTCCCTCAAGGCTCTGTCCTCGGGCCCCCTTCTGTTCTCCCATCTACACCTCCTCCCTTGGCCAACTCATACAACTCTCACGGCTTCAACTACCACCTCTATGCCGACGACACACAAATCTATCTCTCAACCCCCCCCCTCACCCCTTGGTCTCAGCCCGAATCACACACCCCTACTGAGCGACATATCAGACTGGAACCCTGTCGCTCCCACATTCCTTCCTTAAATGGATACCTCTCCAAAAACCGAGTTTTCTTGTCTTCCTTCCCCCCAGCCCAGACACCACCCCCCCCCATTGACTTCTCCCCCGTCACGTCCAAAACAACGCTACCACCAAACCCGCCCTGCAGGCCAGAGTACTTGTGTCATTCTGGACTCCAACCTATCCTTCCAGCCCCAAGTCCAATCTTTTTCTTAACAAACTCGTGCAGACTCCACCTCCGCAACATCGCCAAAATCCGCACGTTCCTAACCCCCTAGAAACCGTTAAACAGCTCATCCACTCCCTCATCATATATCACGACTCGACTACTGCAATACTCCCTCCTCACTGGCCTGCCTCGCCGCTGGCTATCCCCACAGCTTCAGTCTATCCTGAATATGGCTGCCAGACTCCTTCACCTTTTCCAACCGCTCTGTCTCCGCCCACCCCCCTCTGCCAATCCCTCCACTGGCCTTCGATTGCGCGCAACGGATCAAATTTCAAAATCCTAACACTGATGTACAAAGCTGTCCACCATACCTGTCCCCGAACTACCATCACTGACCTAATATCCAAGTACCACGCCCCAACAACACACACTCCGCTCCCTCACAAGACCTCCTTCTCTCTAGTTCCCTTGGTCTCCTCCTCCCCCATGCCCCGCCAAATCCAGGACTTCTCCAGGAGTGTCACCCATCCTCTGGAACTCCCTGCCCCAAACCCATCAGATTATCACCTACTCTCCTCTCCTTTAGGCGCACCCTGAAAACCCATCTCTTCAGGGAAGCCTACCCCACCCCCTGCTAACTTGTTGACCTCCTCCTCCACCTTCCTACCACTCCATCCCCCACAGCTATCTCCTCCTGTGCCACCATCCCCTCCCTCCTAGATTGTAAGCTCGAAAGAGCAGGGTCCTTGATCCCCTCATGTTTTGCATTGTATTGTTATTGTTTCTGTCACATGTTCTGTCCCCCTTTGTAATGTACAGCACTGAGCAAACTATTGGCTCTTTATAAATACTGTATAATAATAATCTCTGGTGCCATGCAGGCGTCCTGCAGACCTGTCGCTGTATCTGTGTGCTCGTACCTTGTACAGGCAAGCAGATACACACTGACAGGAAGAATCGATGAACTACCAAAGCGCTCAACAGCACCATGGAGAACTACAAGCTGATGGCTGCAAAGGCTGTTGGGATTTGTAGTTTCACATTCACAGAATACTGTAAATGAGTGACACAATTTGTGACGGTGGTGGGTGGAGAAGATCCCCTACATGTTACAACCCTGAATATGGGTTGTGTAACATGTTATGAAGGTGAACGTATCCTTTAAGAGCTGTTCACACATGTGCGGTGCGGTTTGAAGCTCAGGTTTCACAGGTATTGACACAGTAGTTGTTCAGCGGTTCATGTCAGGTTTACATCAGGTTCAGGACAGGATTATCTCTCAGGATTGTCCTTCCACACAAATGTGGTTTAGAAATAGTTCCCATAGAAGTCAATCGCCTGTGATAATCCCAGACCGCAACTGCTCAGAAAATTGTACATGACTTTTTTTCAAACCGCACCGACATATGCGAACAGGGCACCATAGGAAGCATTGTTATTTCACATGTCATATGATTGGATGTGGTTCAAAACCGCATCCAATCCGCATATATGTGAACTGACACTAAGCTAGCCATACACTAAACAATTCTGATTGGACAGTCTCCATTTTAGATTGACCAAAATGGTGTAATAGGAGACACATCTAAACAATCTGTTCAAATTGTATGCAGTCCTTACACTACACAGCTGATGGCAGATCTAATGATGATTGTACAGTCAGCCTAAGGCTCACCACACACACAATACATTCTGATTGCACAATCACCTTTAGATCTAGTTGTTATAATACAGTATTTTTATAGCGCCGAAGGGTGTGCTCAGCGCTGTACATTAGCGAGGGGGACAGTACATGAGACAATACAGTACAATACACGAGAGGTTCGAGGGCCCTGCTCTTTCGAGCTTACAATCTAGGAGGGAGGGGGTAGAGGTACAGGAGGAAGTGGCTGTGGGGGATGCAGTGGTAGGAGGAGTGGAGGAGAACGGTTGTTAGGTGAGGTTGGGGTAGGCTTCCCTGAAGAGATGGGTTTTTAGGGTGTGCCTGAAGGTGAGGAAGGTAGGTGACAGTCTGATGGATTGGAGTAGGGAGTTCCAGAGGATGGGGGAAGTCCTGGAGAACTCCTACAGTCGGGCGTGGGAGGAGGAGACCAGGGAGCTGGAGAGTAGGAGGTCCTGTGAGGAGCGAGTATATTTTATACATACATACATACATACATACATACATACATACATACATACATACATACATACATTTATTTATTTTTTTTTTTTGTGTGTGTAAAGGTGAACTTCTCCTATTAGGACTGTGTTGACGTGCTTTGGGCTTGTACCAATGGCATCAGTTTGAGACGCTCCTGAGATCATTCAGAATCCATTGACAGGTGCATTTGACATGCTTCACGTTGGTTTTGCTTTCCCCTAGTTTGCAAAAGCCCAGCACCACAGGCTGAAAAAACCCATCAGTTGGGAGGTAACTGACAGCTAGGACCTGACACAGGGGAACCCATTGTAGGCAAACCTCCTATCAGGATATCTGATCTGAGGTCTGTACTTTTTGTATTTCAATGTCATGAAGTTGGGTCAGTACTTCAAGCTAACATGTTTTATCACCATACAGGTGTACCTCTGTTTACGAATTTAATGCGCTCTCCGGGACGTTTTGTATTGCGAAAAAATTTGTAAACTGAAAGACGATTTCCTGTAGGAATGCATTGAAAACCAATTAATCCATTCCGGAGGTCAGAAAAAAGTAAAAAAAAAAAAAGTTGCTGTCACTATAGGTCAGTGCTGGTTTTTAAATGTAATTACTGGCTTTGTTTTTCTTCACTATAGCTCGTAGAATCAGCTGTCACTTTCCCCCCAGCTAAAAGAAAGTTTTCCTTTTTAGTTTATTTCCCGGAGTTAAAAGAAACAATGTTTCCTTTTAGTTTGTTTTCTGGATTAAAAGAAACAATGTTTCTTTTCAGTCTGTTTCCCGAGATAAAAGAAACATTGTTTCCTCTTTAGTTTGTTTGCCGGAATAAATGAAACAATGTTTCCTTTTAGTCTGTTTCCTGAGAAGCAAAGTATCCTTTTAGCTCTGGGGAAAGTGACAACTAATTCTGTGAGCTGTAGTAATGGAGAAAAAGAAGCCGGCAATTGCTTTTAAAAATTGGCACTGGCATACACTTCGTATTGCGAAAAAAATTCTTAAACCGAGGGATTATTTTCAATGGATTTTAATTTTAAACCAAAAATTACATACCCGAGGCGTTCATAAAGGTACACCTGTAGTCCAATTGCAAAGCTGAACTCCCCCCAGAAAACACAAGCATTTAACTTTTGCATTGCTGGGGGAACCACACTATAAGGGTTTTCTCCCCCCCCCGGAATTAAGATTTAAAGGGAACATGGAACCCCATCCTTCTGAGAACATCTTCTGATTTAGTGAAATGTGTTTTCTGTGACATTTCTATTTCTCCTGTCTTCTCTTGCCAGGAGTCCATAGAAAGTATGAGGGCCAGACTGGAGCGCAGCATGCAGATGCAGACAGTCCTGCGAGCCTTTGAAGCCAGAGACCGTAACCTACAGGAGAGCAATCTGGAAAGAGTCAACTTTTGGTCAGCCGTCAATCTCGGAGTTCTGGTGACTGTGGCTTTCCTCCAGGTCTACATGCTGAAGAGCCTCTTCGATGACAAGCGCAAGACCAGGACGTAGTAGAAGGAGAATCTGATGTTTGAGTCAAGTGTCTTCAAATCTATACAGTCTTCCGCCTGAACCAAGGATGTAGAATCAGCACATTCAGCCTGCGATGGTTGTCACTTTAAAGCAATCTCTTCAAAAACATAAAGCGCAAAAGGTGCAACATCCTGCAGGGAACTGTACCCTTGTAGGTTTATGGACCTGAACTGTCATGTCTGCAAGATACTTTAGTAATCCTCGCCACCTTTTGCAGCAAAGAACGCAGGAAAATATGGACTGGTCCCCCAGTTTTATGCAGTTTGGTGCTTTGCAGCATACATACCATAAGGAATATCGGGCTGCCTGTTGTGTGTGTGCGTGTCTGTGTGACATGAGAAGTGAGAGCTGCCCAAAACAACCAGTCAGCTGCATGCTTTCATTTTTTTTGACCCACAGGGACAGTCCTAAAGGGAATATCTTATTGGATGTTGCAGGTTTCCCCAACCAGTCATCAGTTTAGACATTTTTGTACATGAAGCATACAACCTGATCAGAGGTGTTTAGCCCCAATGTCACCCCAATTACAGGACGAGCCATGTTGAGCAAAGCCCCAATGTCACCCCAATTACAGGACGAGCCATGTTGAGCAAAGCCCCAATGTCACCCCAATTACAGGACAAGCCACGTTGAGCAAAGCCCCAATGTCACCCCAATTACAGGACAAGCCGCTATGAGCCAAGCCCCAATGTCACCCCAATTACAGGACAAGCCACGATGAGCCAATCCCCAGTGTTACCCCAATTACAGGGCAAGCCCCAATGTTACCCCAATTACAGGGCAAGCCCCAATGTTACCCCAAATTACAGGGCAAGCCACGATGAGCCAAGCCCCAATGTCACCCCAATTACAGGGTAAGCCACGATGAGCCAAGCCCCAATGTCACCCCAATTACAGGGCAAGCAGCTATGAGCCAAGCCCAATGTCACCCCAATTACAGGGCAAGACACGATGAGCCAATCCCCAATGTCACCCCAATTACAGGACAAGCCGCTATGAGCCAAGCCCAATGTCACCCCAATTACAGGGCAAGCCACGATGAGCCAAGCCCCAATGTCACCCCAATTACAGGACAAGCCGCTATGAGCCAAGCCCCAATGTCACCCCAATTACAGGACAAGCCGCTATGAGCCAAGCCCCAATGTCACCCCAATTACAGGGCAAGCCGCTATGAGCCAAGCCCCAACGTCACCCCAATTACAGGACAAGCCACGATGAGCCAAGCCCCAGTATCACCCCAATTACAGGGTAAGCCGCTATGAGCCAAGCCCCAATGTCACCCCAATTACAGGACAAGCCACGATGAGCCATCTAAGTGTGTAAAACACCTTCAGAGAGGTGTGATCATGCTATCAAATTTATATGAATTTGGCTACCACATTATTTGTGCAACAAGCGCAAAATTTCAGTAAGTCCACTAAAGTTCATTTTAAGGCACTTAAATGCAATATGTTACCAATTTTTTTTTTTTTTTTGGTAAAGCATAAAAAAATGAGGTTAGGCCGAGTGTGTCAAGCTTTCAATTTGTGTGCGCCTGCAAAAGGACAATGAACTTTAGTACTTCTATATTTTTCATAGGTGATGCTTTAAAAACCCCCTACAGGTCCTTGGTTTAGCGTTAACCATGAATAATGGACCTAGAATTCTTGCACTCACTTTGATGTGATGGTGGTATGCAACATGCGTATCACAAGCAAAGATTTTGGGTGGCAGAGCCCGCAATAGGTTTGTGGAGGCCACAAAATGCTACGCATGCGCAGCTTTTTTTTTTTTTTCTTCTTCTTCTTCTTGGGAGGGTTTTTAAGGGATTGTACCTGTTTATCTGAGGCTTGGGTTTGAAAGTGGTTGTAAACCCTTACATATACTCAGTATAGAACTGGCCTCTGGTGATACAGAGATGAAACAAATTGTCCTCCATAAGTTGTAACTGTTTATCTGCAGTAGTAATTCCCCTGTATCCATTCAAAGTGCAGAATTTACACAGGATCTCTCAGCCCTAAAAAGAATGGGGCAGAGTCCTGAAGTTACATAATTGAGAAGAGCTCCGAGAGTTGTTTGGAGGGATAAGACACCCCCCCCCCCTTCACACAGCTCACTGGAACAGAGATGAGGCTGTTAATCAGCTAGGGCCTCCCTCCTCTCTCACCATTTTTCTCTTGGTGTTAAGAAAACTTGTCAGAAAGTATTCATGCTGATAGCCAAGGAATGGAGCAGCTAGCAGAAATTACACTTGGTGCTCTTAACCTCTTGGTGCCGGTGCCTCCTGGCCCTTTAAGGCTTTCAGAAGACGGGAGGTGGGGTTTAGGGTCGCGACCGCCGTAACACGCCATTACGTTGGTCACATGATCGGGAAAGGTCCCAATCGAAAGAGGAGTTCGGAACCTTTCCGTGAGTACCGGACATGTATGCCAGTAGTGCGTAGAGCGTGCGCTCTCAGCACCTATGGTGTTTTTTTTTTTTTTTTTTAATAGAACACAAATGTGCAGCCACTTGGCATCTAGGCCCGGACACTGGGAGGCTGCACGTTTGTGTTCCGGCCGGCGCCAAGAGCTTAATTGAGAGGCACATGTTATAGAGGGATATGCTTTCTTCATATTTTATGTCTGAGGTTTACAACCGTTTTACCTTACTTTTTGACATCGGAGCCCAGGAAAGTATGGAGGATTGGTCAGGGATTGGCCACATTCTGGGGTAACAGAAAAAGTGATCAAGTGGCTCTACAGTTGCTAGATTACTTTCAAACTGCTCTTGTGAAAATGCACCAAAAATGCAACAGCATTTTCCATTCATTTCAATGGTGAGGTGCATTTTTGGTAAACACCCCCCCAGAGAATTCTGTTAAGTCATGCTTGCGTTAAAATTCCAAAAATAACTAAACATTACCCAGTGTAACCTTAGAAGTCAGATTTTTTTATTTGGTGCTAAGCTTGTTAGGAAATTTCTCCTCACTGCATATCCCTGGGACAGCAGGACAGGAATGGATGGGAGAGGGGGTCGCTGAGAATGGAAGGGAGAGAGGGGGGTCGCCGAGAATGGGAGGGAGAGAGGGGGGGTTGCCGAGAATGGAAGGGAGAGGGGGGGTCGCCGAGAATGGGAGGGAGAGGGGTGGTCGCCGAGAATGGATGGGAGAGGGCGGTTGCCGAGACCGGAACACCCAGTCATAATAATCTGACAGAGGTTCCAACACTTCTCCGTGTCCCCACTATAGAGTTGCTCAGACAGGAAGTGAGGGGAGACACAGACCTAATATAAAAAACTAACAGAGGTTATGTTCCTTCCCTACTGGCTCCAAAACTAGAAATCTAGTTTTTGCTGGTGTCCTAGAGAAAGGCAATGGCTTTGCCAAGCAGCTGTTTTGCATATTAGCTTTCCCAAACATTTTATCCAATAGACACTTTACCGAAAATAATGTGCAGAATATGGTTCTTTCGAACTTGTCAGTTGCTGTTACATATGTTACTATGATGTAAGGTAGGTCCATAATGTGTCTAAGAACATACCCGAGGCATGTCTCAAATGCTCTGTGATGTATTTCAGTGATCTGCTCTTCTCCGTGGTCCTGTACTGAATGTGACTGTAGAGCTCATGCTCCTAAGATGTTCCTGGAAACTTCAACTTTTCCCATTCAGACCTCACTTCTGGTAGGGAGTCAGCTATCCCTCATACGCTGTTAAGACAGACTGAACTCTTGCCCTGGTTGGAAACCACAGATATCGATCATATTGGGGTTGTTCCAGATTTTGTTCACGGCCAATTTATGCTGCAGTCTTGAAAAAGTGAAAGCGAACATCTGACTGGTTGTTATGGGTAATAGAACAAATCTTTTATCTTCAGTATTTGATGATGAGCTGAAAGATGGTCTTTGTGAAGAGGATTTCCACTTTTAAATAGAAATGTCCTATTTGTTCTGAGTCTAGTTCTGTAGAAGTGTCGCAGCCTCCAGAAGTGCAGCACAGCCATAAGAGCTATTACAGGGGTGCAGGGATATGTTGGTGGATCTGATACTTGTGTGACTCCAAGCCATGCTCTTCTCGGCACAGGCATGTAATTCTGCTGGGTTACTGAATGGGCTGGTAGCATCAAGGTACCCTAAATGCTGCTGGTCCTGTTTATTTTGGGACAGTGCTGCATACACCGAAGGCTTTATTAAATGCAAACTTGTACTAAGTCAGTGATTGTGAACCTTTTGGGGCCCGAGTGTCCAAACTGCGACCCAAAACCCACTTATTTATTGCAAAGTGCCAACACTGCAATTAAACCTGAATAGTGAGGTTTTAGTTTTGAAAAAACAACCTGTACATTCAGAGCTGGAGGTCCTCTTTAATTTGCTGACTACAGGGACAGAGGGGCGATGTGCCGCTGAGCACGGGCACGGTGGGGCGATGTGCCGCTGAGCACGGGCACGGTGGGGTGATGTGCCGCTGAGCACGGGCACGGTGGGGCGCTGTGCCGCTGAGCACGGGCACGGAGGGGCGACGTGCCGGTGAGCACGGGCACGGTGGGGCGACGTTTCGCTGAGCACGGGCACGGTGGGGCGATGTTCCGCTGAGCACGGGCACAGAGGGGCAATGTTCCTATAAAATCCTAGGTGAACAAGAATGGGATGGGGTGTCAAGACCCTTCTTTCAAATCCCAGGTGTACAAGCTTGGGAAGGTGTATAGGGAGCCCCCTATTAAATCCCATCTGCCCAGGACTGGGAAGGTGGGTCGAGTCCCATTGCAGATCCTAACTGTATAAGGCTGGGAAGGTACAATGAGAGCCCCCTTTTAAATCCTGTGTGTATGAATCTGGGAAGGTGGTTGAGAGCCTCCTTTCAAAGCCTTGGATGTAGAAGATTAAAAGTACAACTATTCATAAAATCCTGAACATTGAGCCAACCATCAGATACAAATGGCAAGCAGCTTCCAGCGCTGTGCGAACGAGGCTGCAGAAGGCACGATATCTCCGTGTTGAGCATGTAGGCATCTTCTGT